GGGCCCTGCCACAGCTCTCGGTGTGCTGCGGGCCGGCTCGGGGACTTCTTTCGGTACTGAACTGACTACTGAAAGTCAAAAGTCAGAAAAGGGTAAGACGCAAGTCTATGGGGAGCTGGGTTTTGTGAACTTGAGGCTTAGGTTAGAAGCAGAGAGGTCTTGTTTTCTTTAGTGAGAGCTATTCGTCCTCTGCCAGTCTGACAGGGGTGTGGGAATTTGGTTGAGTTCAGGTGGGTGCCAGAAGTCTGAAAGTCAGTCAGCAGATCTGGGAGAGTTGATAAATGTTCACGTACACGCATTACATTGTGACTGTACAATATTTATTTCTAAAGGAATAATAATTATTCACAAATACTATTCCTAAGGGAAACAGACTGAAAACAGGTTTGCTGATTAAATAAACACTATGGTTAGTACTATAGTGTATAGGACTTTTAAAATCTGATATTGGTCTAACACTTCACATCTGTGTAGATTGTTTTTTATTACCAGCATATTACCATTTTAAAGAAGTTTTCAGAGCAAATCCAGTGGCTTTAGCCATAGTTCTTCAGCTTCCATGTTAAAAAGGAAGATAGTCCCTTACAATTGTTTTTTGAGGACATCTGCAGAGGTGGCATGGAAATAGTACAAGTAATCTTATTTCAGAATAATGTCACAGGCACGTATGCAAAAAAGCAGAATACTACTTCTAACTTGTATGTTTGTCTTCATATACTGCCTGAATGAACAGACTGCAGGAAGGCTAAATGCGGGTTCTGTGATTCATTTAGGGTCGTGTAACGAGACAAAGATGTGAGGACAGTCCTTGTTCTTGTATCTTAGCTGCAACCTGTCTCATCTGATTTGAACTGCTCATTTCAGCAGGTGTATTTTTTTCCTAGTTGTTTTTACATGATATTGGCTTAACGTTTTTAATTTGTGCAGATAACTTAGCCTCTTCCCCGCCTCCCTGCCAGTACAGTTGGTTGGACTTTGCTTTTCTAAGCATTCTATTAAGCACTGGGAAGTAAATAATTTTTTCAGATGGCCTCCTCTCCCATTCTTCTCATCAAGCATTGTAAAATATTTTTAAGGAAGCAATTGTTTGGTGTTATTATAGGACTCTAAATGTATTTTCTGCTTTATAACCAACAGATGATCTCTTTCCTGAGAAGCTTACGTGCCAAGTCTTTGTTCTTCTGCAGGCTTACGTATGTGCTTTAACTTTAATGTATCTGCTTAACTCATGCAAATCTTTGTACACCATGGGGCAGTTTACCTGTTTGATTCTGAAAAACTTGCACTGTATTTAATGAAAGATGAGACAAGAGAACATTATTATTATCTACAGGTACTAGCATGCAAAAAAATTTGTCTTTTCTGATCTTTTGCTACCTTCACTCCCATTCTCCTGCAGGAAAATAACCTTTGGAGCTACAAGACTGTACCATTGCCCTTCCCCATCACTGTGGTATCATCTAAGAAGGAAAGATTCTGCAGCAGTTCTGTTATCAGCTTAATTACGAGTTTAGCGAGATCTCTGATACCACCATCTGCCTGTTGATAAAAGTGCCCTCTAATGTCAAAGTCCTCTTCTTCCATCATGGCAGCTGTGTTTCATAGGCAATTTTAGCAGCTTTACATTAAATGTGTGGGAGGTTTGAAGCACTTTGGCTTCACTGTGACCCAAATCCCATATAGAAATTCAGCTTGGCTCGTTGAAAACAGGATGGTTTTTAAAAGTTGCTTTCTGTTGCCATTTTTTTTTTTTCTCCCACCACACAAATTCCAGTGTTTGTGAAAGGCTCTCCAGGCAGAATTCCATCTGCAGAGCAGTAATGCCTGTACAGTGCCTGAACACTGGTTCCAGCTTCTTGATTGTGACTGTCAGCAAATGTGGCAGTTGGGTGATTTTGGGGTCATTAACTTTGGTGCAGATGTAACCTGTATGAGTTTGTTTAGATGTAGTTCTCAAACGACTATTAGTTGAAAATATTTTTTAACTTTAATACAAACAATAATTAACCATTACAGCAAAGTATCATAGGAAATGGTTAATTCTCTATCTCTTATGTCTTCAGAATGTATTTTCTTCAAAATATGCTGTAATTAAACACAGTTCTTGAATCTAGTTCAGGGGTAATTAGATAAATTTAACTTCCCTTATACTTAGAAAGGTCAATATTGTCTTCCAGCCTTAATCTCCATGAATGAAAATCCATTTCTGATCACTCCTATGACGGGGTGGTTTGAAGCATACGTACAGCACAAGGGTTAAAGGTGATTTTTTTTTTTTTCATCGTCAGTCCCCTGAAGTGCTTGTTTCAACTTTGTTTCCAGAATTAATAACACACATTTTCATGTGTACTGTGAGTGACCCTCTAGTTAGGTGAATATTGTAATCTGAAGCATGACTTACCTTTTTCAGTAAAAGGAGTTCAGTTCCATTTGTTTGATCTTTGCTTCTTTAGGTGGGTATTATCTATTTGTCATGTTTTTTCTTTTTTCTTTATATTTCATCCCATGAAAGGTCTAAAATTCTAATAATGTGTTTAAAAGATGTTTAGTTTGATGGCAGTAAGAGATCTTGCAGACCAAATTTGAATTAGTCTGTGGAAGTACAATACTACTTCTCTCCCAGAAGTGAATAATCATCTTAAATTCACATTAAATCTTTTTGCATTACTTGAAAACTCAGAGATTAATAAATTCAAAGTTTTCAGTTTCTGCAGTCAGGGAAAGGTAGCAAAGACAAAATTCATGTCAGGGAAGCCCAGGTTCTTTTCCTAGGCCCTGAAAGACAGGGGAGACAAGGACCTTCTAGGATTTTTGTTGTGGGAGTTCTCTTTTGACAGATTTTAGATATCACTGTTCAAAACCTTACATAATAATAACCCAACTACTAAGAAAAAAATAAGGATTACCAGGGTGAGCACTGTTTACCTCAGTTACCCGTCTGTGCTCTCAACCTCCTGGCTGCTGTCAAGATCAGTTTTTGATATGCCACAACCTAGCTTCCATTTCAGATTGTCTTCTTACATAAATAACTCTAGTGCCTGCCTCAGCTGCGACTGTTGCTTTCATAAGCGATATCATTGAAACTTGCATGCCTTTTTCCTGTGTCATCTCAGACATCAGCTCTAAGTGGCGGTAGGAAGACTCGACAACATACTGATTAGTTTTTCAATTTGCGGCTCTTTTCCAGAGCAGAAGGTCCCTGGAGTTAAAAACACATTTTATATTTTTATGTAGGCACTTGTCTTTGCAGTGGTGAATTAATGCCAGTTTTCTGAAGCCATTTTAAGTTCTTCACTTTAAAGGAAATTTTTATAATTTCATTAGACATTAATACATTAATAAGGTTTTTTGACTTTGCTGAGTTTTTCCCCTCAGATTTCTCCAAGGCAGGATTTTTCTGTGTGTTTCACAGTAGATCTTCACTGCAGCTTGCTCTGTGATCCTTGGATAGGCAAGCAAAAAGGCAAATGCAAGCAGCTAATTTTATGGCTTAAAATAAAGGGAGATTATGCTTAAATATGTATGTTTTAGGAACAGGGATTTGATAAAAAGTTGCAATGTGGTGGCAACTCTTAAAGAAGCAGTGAATATCAGGCTAAATGTGGTAATATCCAACACTGTCCTGCACCCTGAAGACAGGAAAGATAGGTTATGGATGAAGGCATGTCTGTAGTTGTGCACTGATTTATGTAGAACTAGGTGAATAATGAATTGGCTCTGTGCTTTTCTATAGTTGTATCTAGAACACTACATAGAGATAGAAGACGCTTTTTCTGTGGGTGACACTTAAAAATTTCACAAGGGAGATAATAAAAATCGAGTAACAGTTTATGTAATACAAAGATTAGATAATGAAACGGGAAGAGATAAATGAAAACCCATCTGTTGCAATATGGAGAAGAAGCTGTAGGACTACGACTAAGATGCCAAATCATAGGTGATTCCTATTCTAATAGTAGTTTCCTTGATGTAAAATTGTGGAAGGTAATTGCCTGGTATTCCTCTGCTATTTATTCAGATTTCTAAAGTTGCCTCATCTTTATCAGTTTGGGAATAGGTTGCTATAGAAGCATAGTTGTGTGATCGATTTTGCAATCTGTCCCACAAAATGCAGGTTAGAATGGAAGACCCACATTTTTTTATGTCTTGGGATCATTTATCAGTTGAATAGCTGTCTTCCGTTGTCTTAACCTCTAAAACCTCTACAAAAGAGCGTATGCCTTTATTTTGCAGCCACAAGTTTGAGTTTATCACTTACCAGTTACGGGGTGTCTCCTGGTAATGTATTATAGCATACCTCCATCGTATTTAAATCCCAGCATTCAATATTATTTTAGGAGAACGGTGAGTAATTTGTCCCATGACACCCTCTGTCATCACTTGCACATATTCTCCATCTCTGTCATCTGTTAATGACGAAGTATTTTCTTCCACTCCCGGGATGGTTAGCTGTAGGTACATGTAATCTGAGACAAAAACTGCACTTGTGCTTCATACATGGCTGGGAAGGTCATGAGCCACAAACCCTTTCTTATCCCTAAATCAGCTTTTTTTTTTTTTCCCTCTAATCTTACGGTAAGCAGTAGGAACTGGTGGCTTTATAGGTATAATGGGGCACTGGCTGTCCCTCACACTGGAGCTTTCAGAGCCATCAAGCTCGACGCAGTGTGAAGGGACAGATAGTTTCGAAGTAGAGATCATAGGACTGAGGTTGACTTTATGTGGGAGTGGAATGGTTGAAAACGATGAAGAAACTTTGAGAGATCACCTATGTCTTCTCTCCTTCCCTTTGGTCTTGGGTCAGGTATTGCTGACCTGTTTCTGATAGATTTGTGTCAAACTTATTTTTAAAATTGTCTCCCCATCAATGAAAGTTTTACAACTTTCTAGACTATTAATCGATTTTACTGCCTTAGTTATTAAGGTAACTGTATAAAGACAGTTTATTTCATTTTCTTAGTACCCTGTGTATATCTGGAGATAGTTATGTGCTGTTCTTTAGTCTTCTCTAAAGGTTTTACTTGACTTTTTGCAATAACAGGCTTTGAACTCAACATACTTTATGTGATCCCTTTAGCTAGGGATGAGCTAATTACTTCTAATTCATAGCAGTAACTCAGTTCCTTCAGGGCAGGAGAATTTGGTGTAATTGTTGGCTGCAGATGTAAACAGTGACTGTCTTGCTTTGGAGAAACTAAGACATTACTTGCAATATATAAGCATGATTTGATATAATTGTTTGGTTTTATCCTTCTCTTTTATAACTATATTAATTTTATGTTTCTTATAACAATTTAAACACTTCTTGTGCCTCTTACAACTTCGCCGTGGGTTGTGACCTGTGGCTTAACAAATAGTCCTTTAAATCATCTTCTACTCTCCCATTTAGTTCATACCTCTCATGAAATATGATGTGAAAACTGAAAAGTGTGTTCCAGGGCCGACTGTACCAGTATTGAATAGAACAGTTTTTTCTCATCTGTGCTTATATTGCCCCTCGTATATATACATTGTAGTACATATGGGGTTTTATTTTATTTTTTCCTCTAGTAGTGTTAAGATGGTGTCTCACTGTCAGTTTGTGATCCAGTGTAGCCGCTGGATCCTTTTCTGCAGAGCTGTTCTTTAGCTGGTCATTCCCCATCTTTTCAGTTATTTCCCCTAAGCACCATGCTTTGTCCCTGTTGAATTTCATCCTGTTTGTATTAGATTCTCTGTCCAGTTTGTCAGAATTGCCTTGCCTTCCAGGGTGTTTGCAGTCCCCTCCTGACTTGCCATTATATGTGTTCCCAGTCCATGTACTTCATTTTGCCATATACAGGTCATGAATGGAAATTCTGGATTGCACCAAGCTGAGATTCTGAGCCCTCTCTGAAACTCTACTGCAAATATGCACGTAGTTTAACTGTAGTAATTATTCACTACTTGTGGTTTTTCTAGCTGGTTTTGTAGCTGCTCAAAAGTAATTTCATTTGCAATTTACTTTCCTACTTGATATGTGAGAACGCTTATGTGACCCAATGACAAAAGTGTTTCTGCAATTAAGACTTTTTCTTCTATCCACTAAGCGTGTTACCTGATCAGAAAGGAAAACTTATCGATCTCGCGCTGTTCCCAAGGAGCTGGTGTTGCCTTTTATTTGTTATCTTGTTAAAAATCTGCTTGTACTTGTTTCAGTATTTTTGAGTGTTTTGAAGTTGTTTTGACTGACCTATGAATTTCTGGATTTGCCTTTCTCTCCTTCTTAAAGACAAAAATTGTTTCATTTTCCTGGTATTTTGAAACCTCACCTGTCTTCAGTGGGACCTCAGAGAAAACAGTTAGAGGCCATTGTGTTGCTTAGGAAACTCACCTAAAGCATTTAAGGATGAATCTCACAATGTTTGAAATACCTAACTACGTAGCCTATGATATGCGTTTTTCCTGCTCAAATCTGTTTCTTTTATTGTTGCTACAAGTTGTGTCGCTCATGATTATACTTAACCTTTTAAATGACAGTGGAAGCAAAGAAGATAGTAAACACCTTTTCAGTGTATTCCATTGCTAAGTTTCTGATCTTACTGATTTAGCAAGCCTTCTTTGTAATCCTGCATGTTCTTTCCTTTCATAGCTATATCTCATTTTATGTCTAGCAATTCTGACTTTTTTTTTTTAAATAAACCCCAGAATTCCTGCTTGGGGACAGCCCTGTCTCTTCTAGACAGAAAATAATGCCAGTGGAGCAGGCTGTGGCATTGTAGGGCTTCACGGCTATTGCCTTGCTTAGTGTGGACTTTGACTCTTTCAACTTGCTTACAGAAGTCCTGTTTTGGTCTCCTGTTTGCTGGCTTTTAAATTCTTTCTGTCTAGTTTAGCCAACCTCTCTCTAAAGGATTAATCTATTCAGAGAAATGTACTTTGGAATTTTTAAACGGTTTTGCCACAGTTTGTAAAAAAACCAAAAAAAGGTCAAAAACTTCCCTTGCAACAGCTCATCCAAATCTTACCACTCTTCAGCTGGGCTTTTTAGTGCTTGTTAATAATAAAAACAAATGTTAAAATGTACTACTAGAGGTGTTTACTACTGAAGTTAGAAGTGATTTAATGAAAAACAAAGGGGTAACATACTCTAGTGGTTGTATAGGTAAGTAATGTATATACATCTTTGTGTAAATTGTTAAGAATGTGTGTTGTTTATGAACAAAAGAGGATGCTTTTCAAAACTTCGCTGTTAATAATCTTAATTTTCATTTTACAGCATACACAGCTCAGGCAGATGACAAGACAGTCCCTGGTACTCCTACAGATGTTAATGCCAGAGCCTTATTGGCTTGCAGTGGACCTTTAGAACATTATGACTTTCTGATTAAGCAAGAAGAGCTGAGAAATGATGAGCAACAAAGAAGAGTTGTGCAGCACTTGCAGAAGTTGCACGAGAGCCTTAAAGGCTACAGCATCAGTTCAAAAAATCTTTTCTCAAAGGTGAGGTTTATAATTATAAAAATATTTTTTTTGCATTTAAATTTGCTTATTAGAATGTGCTTAAAATACATAAATTTCTGTCGTTAACATGAGTTATTTTTGCAGCTGGGTCTTTACGGATAGATCACTGTTCGTGTTTGGATCTCTGTTCTTTCTTTTTTGGTTTGTAAAATTCCAGTAACACTCTAGAAGTAACCAAATTACATATTATTGAAATAATTCTGTAAGACAATCCAATATGATTTTGGTTATGTCCACTGTCTGCCTTTCTAACAATGTCATTTGGCTGTAGGCAAGAGGGGCCTACAGCAGGTTTTAATTCTGGTATAAAACGTGTGTTTGGCTTACACATACTGAGCACTGATGTTTTGTGTTCTAGCAGATCTTCCATAAATATAAGTGAAATTAGCCAGCAGAGTCTAAATAATTTGGCTTTGCAAAATACAATATAGGTCAGACATGACTTCTTAAAAAAAAGTCTATTCTTTCCAGTGTTGTTAGTCTCTAGGTGAGGTAATGAAAGACGGAAGAGGTGCGATCTGCACCCCAGTTGTGTTTCTGGGGGCATTGCAGCTCCTTTTGAAAGTATTAACAAAAATTCAGACATATCCCTGTTGCGCAGCACCTTAGCAACAGTACTGCCTTAGCATTAGTAATGCTAATAGCCTGCTGTTGCAGCTCTGTAACTTTTCCCTGAAGCTGTTGACGCAGTGTTTTCCAGAGCCTCTGTGGCAGTATTTTTCATGTCTTGTTCTCGTGCTGTTATTCTCAGATTGTTGCTCTTGTGGCCTTGCACCTGCAAATCCTGATAGCATTGTTATGGCAGGTTCTCATGGGAAGCAACTAGAACTGGTGTGAGAATCTCCCTTCAGCTTTCCTTGCCTCTTGTTGTTCAGATTTGAGTTTGTGTCCCAGAAAACTAAACATAGCGCCCAGCAAAGTAGTTAAGACATTTAATTACTTGGTAAATATTAGGCAGTCATAGATGTGCACAGAAGCTGAATGACCAGCTTCATTTGCACCTGATTAACATATTCCAGTCAGCACAAATAGTCATAAACATGGTGAGGGGAAACAAAAAGAACAGGGCGTTTAACTGAGTCTGATGGGGGAAAAAAGCATGACAAAATATTCATTGCCATCATTGTCTTCACTTTCCCTGCCTGCACTGATGAGACACCTCCCTGCCCCTAAGAGGAGGATGTCTGGAAGCTGTCACTGCTCTTCCCAGCCAGCCACTGAGTATTTCTTTTTCTTTTTCTCTTTCTCTTGCACCACTTTTGTTTTTATTTTTCGTCAGAAGTAACTTTCACATTTACAGTCAGTGTATGCCATCAGCTGCAGACCTTGCTAATAAATCTCCGTGTCAGCCTTTCTCAGCATCCTTTATGCAGCACACCTCATCTCATGGGCATAAATCTAAATCTCTAACTCTATTGAACTTGTTACCTAACCCTATAATTCCCATTATACAACCCCAAATTCTCCTATTACCTGGCACAAATGCTGCATTTTGTTTCCATGGCAAGCCTAAATGATGTAGCATGAGATCAGAGAAGCCAAAGCCTACAGGGCTCGAGTGCCTCTAAATGACTTGCTGTCCTCTGCCCTTTAGGCACCAAATGACAAGTTACTGCTCTAAGGCTCTTGTGGTGTGTATTAGCTTCAAGGCATGAAAAAAGTAGAGAAGAGAATGTTGGTATGAGAACAAATAATGCCCTGTGTAATATCTGTAGATGTGCCTGTTTCATATAGGCAAGTATAGCTGGGTGCAGAGCATTGGGACAGATGCTTGCCTGTCAGACTGCCTCCAACATCCTCTGAATGCTTTAAACTCATAAAGCTCTGGAGATCATGTATTTGCTAATCGTATGCTTGACTGGAAATGCCATAAATGTCTTCCTGCCTCCTGATGAAAGGAATGATGCAAAATAAATACCTAGGACGGAGCTCTCTTTAATTTTTTTTATTGAGATACAGTGGGAAGAAACCTGAATGGGAAATAATTCCGTGGAGTGGAAGTCAGGTACTCTGAAAGGAAAAACACAAGAGTAGTGAAGTACAGGAAACAAAGTCCTAAGGCAAGACTGGTGCTAGAGGGCAATGAGCATGTCTTCCGAAGTTCTGTTTTGGAAGCAGTTGACCCGATAATCTTTGTGGGTCCCTTCCAACTTGTGAAATTCTGTGACCCAGCTTTAAATGGGGGGTTTGGCCACATGATTCCCTGAAGTCCCTGCCAACCTAAGTCATTCAATGATTCAAACTCTGATGGGGGAACTGGAGCCAAACAATGATTTGGGCTATATTTTTGCCTGCTCTGGCTGGTGGGTCAGCTCATCACATTATTTAACCTTTTTACTTTTGGGATTTCTTTAATAAAAATTATTAAAGACATAAAAACATTGTAAAAATGATAGATACAGTCTGAAAACTGTATGAGTATGGCATTTTAAAACACTTATTTATACTGTATGTGGGCATGTGCCTGTCGATCCATGCTGTCTTGATGCCTTTATAGGCTAACTCTTGAGTCTAAACCAGCCTCCTGATTCAATTTGGGCAAGTACCAAATAAAAAAATAGAAATTTCCTCTGTCAGAAATGATTAATGCTTATCTTTTGTTATCGAAAGCAACGGTAGTGTGCCTGAATGAGAACTGTTTTTGCATAAATGCAAGGAGATCAAGCTGGATTCAGCTTGCCAAACTACCTTTGTAAGTGTAATCTGGCAGGCCAGAGGTTTGTTTTTTGCAGATGGTTGATGTGAAAAGTTTTTGGTTTTGGTTTTATTTTCATCTGTCTGGGCTTTTTTTTTAAACTTTGGTGTTGGGCTCGTAATCTTTTAAATTGCCTGTCTCAAAATTGTCTCTAGATGCTGTACCTGGACTGTAAAAGAGGAATTAACTCAAAAGGAAGCCAGTTACCTGGCTTGCTCCTATGTTATCTTTTGGACATACTGCCAGACTTTTATTAATTTTCATTCTTCAGAAAAAATGTTATGATGAGGGTGTTGGTCTTGCTGTCAAACCTGAGGATCAGTAGCCTAGAGCACTTTGATCTTTTCTGGTAAACTGTTTTGGACATTTGGATACTCTGTTATGAAAGTGCTGCCTTTGAGAATAGTTTTGAGAGCTGACTTGTGTTAACTGGAGTGCCCCGAATCATTATAGTTGTTAGAGCAGGTGTCTTGTAATGGCTTTGTAGATCAAGCATTATGTGGGTTTGTTATTTGCTGTTTCTTTGATTGGGAAGCATGAATAGGGAAGAAAGTCTCTATTGCAGAGAACAAATACTAATCCTAGTCTATTTAGGAAATTGTGATGCTACTTTGTCCCTGTATAACGGCGCTAATCGCAGTAAAGCCAGCCCGACCGACACTTTCTTAAAAGCAAAAAGTCAAATGTCATTTTTTAGGTTGAGAATGTGGTTTTCACTAGTTCCTTTAAAGCACTCCTCTCTTCCATTTAACATTGCTTCAAATTCATGCTTTACTTTTAAACCAGCTTTTTAAAATTGTTGCATGGCTCACTGATATCTTGAAGTAATGCCACAGTCAGTGAGAAGTAGCTGTAGAACTACATCTTACTGGGATGTGTTGTTGCAGTTTGAGGTTTTTCTGCTAGAGCTTGATATCTCTGTGGAAATCTTAAGATCGATAACCAGGTTAAGCACTGTTGTGCTGTGCCATACATCAATGCTCTCCTTTCTGTGGTTTTGAGTTTTGTGTAAATCTGTTAAAGCCTACTAGCTTGTAATTAAAGCAAGTAATGATTCATGATGGAGAAAAATTCACAACATCTTTGTTTCTCTTCTGCTATCTTTGAGGAAGTTATTTGCTAGTTCAATGTTGCAGAAAGAGTGATGCACTTCACTCATAAGAGAAGCAGCAATACATTTATTGATATAAACCAGCAGTTTATCACAGTTTGATAGTAAACGCGACATTGGTTTAACAAGATTCAGTGGCAAGGTACACTTGATTATTTACTGCATAGAAGACAGGGTCAGGCAAAACTGTGAGGGAGACCCTCTCATTGAGTCATGAGGTTCAGGGAGGACCCCCTTGCTTTCTAAACTCCTTCCCTTAGAGGAGTCTAGGTGCAGCTGGATCCCAACTTAGTCCTGGACTTGCTCAACAGCTTGTGTCTAAAGAATTATAGATGCGCAATCAGCCCTTTCTGTCACTTAGCTAAGATTACAAAGTTCCAGCATTCTTATTCCCAATTCACTTACCGAGTATCTGACGCAATAAGGATTCTCTCATCCTCAAGGAGTAACCCTTGAGAGGCGTCCTTACTGAAGGGGCGATCCTGGCGTGCAGCCATCTGCCATGCAGAAGAGCTCAAAGGGCTCTTGGGCTGCTCACTATTTATGGGGGTGAGATGATTGGCTCATAGTCATATTTACGTACTGACTGCAGATGTTAGTTTCTTCCAAATTTGGCTTGGGTTGGACATTGAGCAGTGCTGTGGTTAGGTGGACACATTGCTTTAAATTAGCCCTGGGCTATTGTGCTGTTATCTGTCTCCCCCGAATCCGCTTTGAGCTGGATTGATGACTGGACACATCCATCGCGACTGCCACTGGTGGTTATCATGTAAGCAGGGTTATGGGAAAAGGTCAGGTTGTGGTGGAGGGGGCACACCATCACACTCCACCCTGTGACTATAGTCAATTCGTCTTATTCTCACCAAGTGGTGGTATGATCACCTCTTGCCTCTGTGCCATAAATACTGTTTTGATAATTTATGCGCTTACAGATCCACAGCAAGTAGATAGTGAGGTGTTGCTATTCGCTATGTATTAGTTTGTATGGTTTGGGTGGTTGGAGTTGGGTTATTTGTTTTATCATATACCAAACCTTTATATACAATATGATTATAAGCAATAACCACATTAATGTTAGAGTTAGTAAAACTACAGCTGGGTGAAGCATGAAATTAAAAACTCCCATTGCTGTTGGTGACCGTCCAAGAAGCATTTCCCACCAATGGTGTTCTC